GGAAAGAAAAAATGGAGGGAAAATCCTGCATCTGAGTGAGGGAATGGGGCTAGGTTGTCATAACCTGCTACTCCTTTGCATATGATGTGAATGAAACTAGATAAAAGACAGGGATTATGGAATTTTCCAACTATTGCAGAAGTTGTACCTATTTTTTTTTATATAACCACGGAGTCTTGCAACATATATATCTGAGCTGAATAGCACAGTAGTACGTGATGTTTTCTGGATACAGTGAAGTTCCCTGTTAGACAGCACAATAGCAGCAATTGAACACACAGTGAAGCATGCCTAAGCTTTTGTTGGATTGTGATAAATGAATTTGCAGAACTATGATGAACTTGAACAGGAAACACATTATCTTGGAATAAAGAAAAATCTTTACAACTTCCTGAAACCACTCAGACTGTTGTATACTTTATGACCATTGCAACGAAGTCAATTCAAGTTGCTCTACATAGTGAACAATTCATAATACAGATTGCCTAATCTTCACACATTGTAAAAGGAGCTATGTAGAATGATATAGAGTAGCAAGAACTGAACTAAATATATTCCATTATTTAGTACAGCTATTCTACCAAATTCAAATTTAAAAATTAAAATTTCGAAGCAGACAAGAAACGCTGTTGCTCATTGATACTTTAGCATCCTGCTGATGTTGTTTCAGTCCAATGAGGGCAGAGGAGAGGAAAAGAATGGGGGAGCAGATGTAATTGGCAGGAAGCATGTTGGCCAAAGCAAACAGGATATTCTCACTGTGCAGTGACAGGTTTCTGCGAGGGACTGTTCAATGGATCCTATATGAACACAGAACAGCACCATAATTTTTCAGACCATTATCTGTTTTCTTAGGGTGCCAAATACTTCCCTGTTCCCAAGAGAATTTGAATAACTTATAAACATGAATACTTTCTTTTATCTATCTGAAATTTGGCAGGGAGGACAACTTCAATATCTATGAGAATTTTAACTTGATTGCTTGCAGAAAAAAAATATTATAACTGGAACTCTTTCACATTACAACAAATAGAACCAAAGGATAAACTCATGTAATTACAAACATGAATAAAAAGTTACTAAAAATCCAAACAAAAAGAATAACATTGTGTGGTACAAATTCCTAATTTAAAGCACTCTCCACTTGACATTAGGGTATATCTTTGCACTGGTGCCTCAACCAATTCAGTAAACTTATTTTCATTTTATTAACTTAAAACTTAAATCCCATCTATTCCCTAACAGCTCAAGATAGCTCACAGTATAATCCAACAACTTCATAAAAATACAAGGAAGAAAATCAAGCCAGCTACAAAGCCAATAAAATTTAAAACCCAACCTACAAATTCAACATGTACCAGGAATTGAGCAACTGTATTTTGTACCAACTGATGCTTCCAATTCGTCTTAAAGTACAGTTCTACAAAGAGTTTCATTTACAAAACCCCCATGTTTCTACTGACCTAGGGAACCTCCCACTTACGTAGTAACCTTTATGTGTAGCTTTTAATAATTGCCATTAACCCCCATTTTATTATAATATATATAATGGTAATGATGATGATGAACAGGTTCACTGAAGGTTCAGGAACAGGTTCAGACACTGAGTAGCGGAGTCTTATCGATGCCAGCTGGTAATCTAAAGTACAACAAAAATGGAGACCATATGTGGCAAAATTGGATTTATTCATTTTAAGACACTGTAATGCAATGTGGTTATTCTGACAAGAACACAAAGAAATCCTTCATTACTTTGGCAGGATAAAAAAAAATACAAAATGACATTGACTTTTGTACTTAAAGCATTATTGTCACATAGGGAATCATTTTGGATTAACTGTGTATATATGCAGAAATATAACAAAAATGCTGTTGAAAAATGTTACATAGTGTAATTATTTTGTGATTCAATGGAACAATTCTATACTGTAAACAGTTATAAGTTCCAAAGTAACCACCTCACAGGTTGTATTAGGTGCCAGGACCTATGTGACTTGTTCTTTCACTCCTTATCCACTTAATTAAACCCTTTTTTAAAAAAACCTTCATTTTGTGCTTGAATTTTTTTTCAAGTTTATAAACAAACACTGATATTACATTTGCATTAAATCCTTTACTTCATATTCTCAATTTAAGTAAACCGGTGAGTCCTCTAAGAGAGGAATGTAAACCATATTTGAAAATCATACACATTTAAGACATTCTTTTATTAAAAATAATTACACACACTTAGCCCATTATTCATGGAAACTGTATAAACTAAATGAAAGCTACTTAAGGTTTAAAACCGATAAAATTCCCTTTTTTGAGTATTGTACAAAATCCCCCTTGTAACAGTTGTACTGATAAAAGAAAAATATATTAAATCCTGAGCACCACCCGCATGCATGCTTAGACTAGGGTGTCCATGGATCATGCCTTTTAGTGACTGAGGTGCAATTAATATTTATTTATTTAAACCTAGACCATAAAGCTAGTGTTTTGTACTTTAGTAAATTACAGCAGAATATATTTATTCATTACATATCTGTAATTATCTTTAAATAACCGATTATAGTTATATTAAGGTAAAGGTTAAAAGCTTGAGAAGATGCTCATATTTACTTTTTTCCCAACAGCAGCATATAGTTAGTGAACAGCGTCAACACACTACATTGGGCAAATTAAGTGTTAACACACAATACTGATACTTCAAAGGTATCTACATACTCCACAGCTTACTTTCCCTTTTTAATTTCAGGTAATCAAATGGTTACATGGCTATAGTTTAGAAGAGGCATTGTTCTTTCCCATCATACCGGAAAGAAGCCCTTTTCTTAGCCCTCCTAATGCCATAGGTACATTATCTAAAAATGAAGGAAGTATACTTTATTTTTTACAACTGTTGTTTTATTCACATGCAAGTGTATGCCACTTTAACTCTTTAAAGAAGCCTTGATTAATTGCATGGGTGTTAAGTGGGCAACAGCTTTATAACCAGAACTTATGGTCTGTCTGTACAAGGAAATTAAAAGGTAACTTGATTTCAGTTTTCTGATAATGTTATCTAGGAAGGCTGTGGGATTCCCCATTGCCAGTACTGCATGTTATGAGATGATCATGGGAAGGCCCTTCTCTTTAACTCTTCATATGAGCAGCAAAGCTCTTAGGGGTACGAAACAGGCAAGCCTTAGTTTTAATTCTCATCAAAAAGGGTTTTTGATACTGTCTACATACATGGAAACCTGTAATATGTACCTTTATAGTTCCTTCATTTACAGAAAGCAGCAACTAACATTCATTTCTATTTTTCCCCTTGTAAAATATAGGATAGTCTGTATCATCATACACTAAGGCACATAAGTTCTTACATACTGGAAACACTGCATTTCAGCCATGTTATTAAATCAACCAGCTACACAGGACAGTATTTCCTCTTCCAAATCAGTCCACCTAAATCTACAGTTGCAGTTCACCGGACCTTTTCAGTAGTGTTACCACTTCAATCTTAACCAATCCAGGTTAAAGCTTCACAAACTAGTACCCTGATCTAAAATGTCTGCCTAGAACTGTCTCATGCTGTGACTGGTTTGGATGCCACGTAGTACAAGTCTGCTAAGACTACAAGTCTCCCATGGGGACATGCCACATTTCAATGCAAAATACAAATTGATGGTTAAGAATTGCTGATCTCAGTGGTGTCAATACTTTTTAAAGCGCCAAAGTGGTGTAAGGGGTCACCTAGACCCTCCTGCTGTAAAATGGAAACAAGTTTTGCTCTATGGTAGGCAGGAGGACAAAGGCAGGTGGAGTGCAAGTGGGAAGGACGTGGCTCTTCTTATGCTGCCGGACAGCTTTTAAAGGTATAAGTACAAAGTTAAGATAAGGTGATCATATAGATTGTTCCAGCTCCAGAATACAGTTACAATCACAATAAACAGTCTTATACAGTTACAGTTTTCCAATGCCATTTTCAATGTTTCTTTAGATTTACATGATATACCTATCTGGTAAGAGATAACAGCATTATGTTATGTAACAAACGCTGGAATAATTCTGGCTATTCTCTCAAGTCTTTTCTATAGTTCTCTTGCTCAAGAATAAGCACAAACCTATAAAGAGTGCTAGTCATATGAAAAATGACATTTTGAGTTTCAAACTATATCTTTATGCAGAAAAGCTCTGAATGTGCATCCCTTCATTCATAAACCTACTGAGATTATAATAAAGCAATCAGAAGAATGTGAGAGACATCCAACACTAGTGCTCAAGACAAATCTTTCCATTGCACTGTGCACTGGTCAAAATAATGCAACTGAAATGTTAATTTCACAGAGTCATTTACCAAGTATACAACATTATTACTTTGTAACACTTTAGTTTCCTACAGAACCATGGTTAAGTGGCACACTAACAGAGCAATCCTGAACACAGCTACAACCTTCTAAGCCTATTGACTTCAATGGTCTTAGAAGGGCGTAACTCTGCTTAAAATGGCATTGTAAAGGTATTAGAAAATTGGCATTTTAATATCTCCCTTCTTTTAGTTGAGAAAAGATTTTGAAACTATAAACTACTTTAATGGGATTATGTCAAACTTCACTTGAAAAGCTAATTTCCAGAATCTACAGTAATTTGGATTCTACAATGACAAAGTGCAAAGAGTGTAATACACCTAGACAAAAAAGCATACAATAAAGTGCCAAAAAGATTTA